CAGTGTGTTTAGAGTGCAGGCACTGAAAGAGACGTGGATTATGTAAAGACATTATTTAAATGGAGCAGAGGTGGATTTTACATACCTTGACTCCCATAGCTGGCATCTATTCCAGACCCATCCCAGGAGTCCACAGCACTGTCCACGCTGGGCACTGTGGATGGGTACATGTCAGAGAGCTTGCCAGGCTTCTGTATTGGGGAGGAGTCTTCCTCACCATCTCCCAGTTCACTTGCGTGGCTGGGGATAGGGAACTTCTTAGGACTTGATGTTGACTGGGCTTTATGGACAGTAAAAGAGGTTAAGTATCAGTGTAAATGTAAGTGAAAAGATCCTCAAATACTCTAGCTAGAGAGTCATTTCCCTGGAAACACATACAGACACTAGCACATTCTTTCAGAGGAGGAAACACACTGGAAATCCTTAATTAGGACTCTCACCCCACTTACCATCTGTCTGTTTCTTAATTTTCAGGGTGACAGTCTCTCCTGCCATCTGTAACAAGTGGATGGCTTCACTCAGAGGCTTCCCCTTCAAGCTGCTGCTGTTGATAGCTAGAATTCGGTCTCCAACGTGGATGGCGCCAGTCCTGAAACACCAAACGAGTAGGGAATATAGACAAAATTGCTACATGTTTCTGGGGATAAATTCCTGACCCACTCACACATTCATAATGATAAAGACTTGGCAAGGTCTCTAGAAGTCACTTCTAGTTTTCTCCTGGGAAATGTTAAAACTGCATCTGTTATGATTACTTTATAGTTTCCAATAAAATTAGAAAAAGTGTTTTAATTACTTTTGAAAATGAACTTGGGCATTTTTTAACTTCGAGAAAGTTGACTCATTTAGTAAACTCTTTAGAAATCCTAAGGAGATGAACTCTGTTGAACAACAAATGCAGCACTCTATGGCAGGGAATGTTCTTGATTTCTACAAGTTTAAAATGCTTAGTACAAGTGGTACTTGGCTCACCATAAGACAGGTTCAAAGAGATAGGGTACACATAGCAGACTGGTACAGCAGGCATCCCCTGACTATGATTCTAAGAATTGAAAAAGGCTGAACAGAAGGATCATTTAGAGCTAAATTTAAGTCTGTCTCTGTTATCCGGTTCAGCTGTGTGACATGGTTACCCTATTTTAACCTCTTTGTTAGTTTTCTTACCAGTAGAATGGGGATAATCATCTCACAGGGAAGCCCCAAGGATTAAATAGGAAAATATATTTATAAGGCTTGGCTTGAAACATGGATATAGAAAATACATCAATTGTGTGTGTGTGTGT